TGACTGCCATTCTCCTCATGGGGAGTAACTACCACCAGCTGCCCAGCCACTCAACCAGGCCCAGCCAAGTTGACACACAGACAAAACTACCACAACCATATAAACAAAAAAAAACATAAGATTATATCAACTGATGCAGAAAAAGCATTTGATAAAATCCAACACCATTCCTGTTCAGAACTCTCAGCAAAATAAACATAGAAGGGAAATTCCTCAACATAATAAAAGGCATATATGCAAAGCCAACAGCCACCATCATTATTAGTGGAGAAAGACTCAAGGCATTCCCCTCACAAACAGGAACTAGACCAGGATGCCCTGTATCACCACTTCTATATAACACTGTATTAGAAGTCCTGGCCAGGGCAATAAGGCAAAAAAGAAATAAAAGGCATACAAATTGCCAAAGAGGAAGCAAAACTATCCCTATTTGTGGACAATATGATCCTGTACACAGAAAAAACAGGAGACTCAACAAAAAACTACTGGAACTAATAGGTTCAGCAAAGTGGCAGGATACAAGATCAACACACAAAAATCAGTTGGATTCCTCTACACCAACAAAGAGACCTCTGAAAAAGAAATATGGGAAATAATACCATTTACAATAGTTACTAAAAAGATAAATATCTAGGAATAAATCTTACCAGAGACACAAAAGACTGATACAAAGAGAACTATAAAACACTACACTACAAGAGACAACAAGGGCTCTACATAAATGGAAGAAGCTGCCTTGTTCATGGACAGGCAGACTGAATATTGTGAAAATGTCAATACTACCTAAAGCAATCTACACCTTTAATACAATCCCAATCCAGATATCAGCAAAAAATTTTAAGGGCATAGAAAAACCAATGACTAACTTCATCTGGAAACGAAAGAGACCTTGGATAAGCAGAGCACTTCTGAAGAAGAAGAATAAAGTGAGAGGTCTCACACTCCTGGATCACAAAACTTACTATACAGCCACAGTAGTCAAAACAGCACAGCACTGGTACAATATAGACAGATAAGCCAATGGAATAGAATTCAAAAACCCAGAAGTAGACCCATCCATCTATGGACACCTGATCTTTGGCAAAGGTCCATAACACATTAAATGGAGAAGAGATAGCCCCTTTAACAAATAATGCTGGCAAAACTGGATATCCAGTTGCAGAAAAATGAAACAAGACCTCACTCCATACACACAAGGAAACTCTAGCCGGATTAAAGACTTAAATGTAAAACCCAAAACTATAAAATTCATCAAAAATAAAATAAGGGCAAATCTAGGAGCCCTAATTTATGGCATAAAGAGACTATCAAACAAAGAGACTTAGAATGCACAGGAGGTAGAAGAGAAGCTAGATGACTTTGTTGTTGTTAAGTGCCGTCGAGTCATTTCTGACTCATAGCGACCCCACGCACAGCAGAACGAAACACTGCCTGATCCTGAGCCAGCTCCATGATCCCTGCTATACTCTAACAAATCTGTCCTGGAGGCAGTGCAGCTGCAATGCTCCTTGGAAGCAAGAATGGCCAGACTTTGGTCATGTTGTCAGAAGTGACCATTCCTTGGAGTAGGATGTCATGCTTGGTAAGGTGTAGGGTTGACAAGAGAGAGGAAGGCCCTCAACAAGATGGACTGACACAGTGGCTGTGGTGATGACTCAAGTATAGCAAGGATCGTGGAACTGGCGCGGGACGGGCAGTGTTTCATTCTGCTATGCACAGGCTCGCTATGTGTCGGAGATGACTCGATGGCACCTAGCAACAACAATAACAGTCCCACTTCTTTAAGATTGTTCTCATGTTCCATTAATGCATTGAGGGGAGGGAAAATTTTGGACTAGTTGGGGATCACATGTTGATTTGGGTGAGGGGAGTGGCTGTACGGAAAGAGTCTGTGACCAGCATGGTGACACTGGAGAAAGGAAAGACACAGAAGAAAATAGTAATGATAATATTGAGGATCTAGTATGTGCCTAGCACTACATAGTACTAGAAATATGCCCATCTGCATGTTGAAAAGAAAGTCACCGTGAAAGAGTAATAACCAAAAAGAGTAACTGGTAATCACTTATTTTATATACTTTAAAAACAAGCCATGTAGTCTTGGGTCAGGTACTATGATAGAAGGTGGGACTACAATTATAAAAGACTGTCCTTGATCCTAAGGGCCTCAGTCTAGCAAGGAAGACAAGTTAGCAATAACCACTTGCAAGTTAAAACAGTCAGCATTTATTGAACATGTATCCATATATCAAGTGCTATATGTACTAAGGGGCTTTGCATGCACAGGTGTGCATGTGTGTTCTTTTAAATGCCCATAATAACCCAATTATTATTTTTATCTTAAAACTGAAAATTGGAGAAATTAACTAACTTGCCCGAAGTTAACAGCTAATAAGTGATGGAATGAGAATGGAGTCCAGGTCTAATTCTAGACCCCATTTTTTTAAGTACTAGAAATTTACTAAATATTAAAACAGATAAAAAATGAAAGAGCCATTGTTTTTATCCATGGGATCCAGAAAGACTTTGGTGAGCATACAATATCGAATCTAGGTTTGAATGTAGTGATTTTTCCAGATAGACAATGAAGGAGGTCTAGACAGAAGTAAAAAGTCAGAGAGTAAAACAAAGTCTCTGAGCAAAGTCGGAGATGCTGCAAGTATGCACTGGCAGGACAGTATGGTTAGCACAGAAAGTGTAGAAAGGACAGGGTTAGTGATAAGTAAGAGCTTCAGAACAGAGGTCCCTGGTAGACTTAGGATGACTGGCCTTGGAGTAGCCCCGACCTCATCTTGTCACAACCTCCTGCTTCTGCATTACCCAGAACATCATGTGTAAACCAAAACCAAATCCACTGCCATTGAGTCAAATCCATCTCTTAGTAACCCTACAGAGGAGCTCAAAAATTAAGGCACCTGACCAAAATAAAATGACTGGCCTGAGCCGGAGTTTAGACTTCATCTTGATTCACGCCAACTTTTTTACCAATCAGTGACCCTAGTATAGAGTAAAGCCTGTGACAACTGTTTTCCCCTGAAAACATCAAACCCTTAGGCAAATTTAAGTACATAACAAAAGAAACATTTTTTAATGTTCTTGCAGGGAGGTATGTCTTGATATATGATCCTTATCAAAAGTCCCCTCAGGAAATGTTGAAGATAATTACCTAGTAACCACCCTGTAAAATCCCTTTAGTCACATATTCAAACTAACCAATTCAAATAATCCACATTCACATTTCCAACCAAACACTGCAAAGGCCCCCTACTTTGAGTTATCCTGCCTCCTTATCTTGCAACTTCCAATCAGAATATTGTAACATAGTTCCTGGTTTCCACCCTGTATCTATCCCAGGAAAGCAGCCACTCTTGGATTCACTAGTGTTCAAACTGTTTTAGCTAATGTCTCCCTATTTGAATGTTTCTTATGCTTTCAATAAATCTCTGTTTTACTTTGACAGAGTTTAAGAGTTTTACTCAAGGACAGTGATGAGTCTGGTTATGAAAAATCTTACTTGTTAGCTTAAGAAATTTCAATTCAACAACAAAAATTATCTATGATCAAACGCCTATTCTATGCCAAAATTTGTTGCCATTGAATCGATTCCAACTCATAACCACCCTATATGACAGAGTAGAACTGCCTCATAGGGTTTCCAAGGCTCAAATCTTTATGGAAGCAAATCGCCACATCTCTCCCCTGAAGAGTGGCTGGTGACTTTAAACTGCTGACCTTTAGGTTAGCAGCTGAGTGTTTAACTGCTATTCCACCAGGAGTCCCTCCTTACTCCATGCCAGGTACTGATATAAACAATAGTGAACAATACATAACAAATAGTACTTGCCTTTGATAAGCTCCTGGCTAGAGGGGCGATAATGCTGTATGAAGGCAGGCAATTGTAATACTCTGCTACTCTGGTAGCATAGTGGCTAAGACACTTGCCTGCTAACCAGACGGCTGGCGGTTCAAACCCACCAGCCACTCCTCGGAAGGAAGGTTGGGCAATCCTACTTCCGTAGTGATACTGCCTCGGAAACCCAAGGAGGGGTCGCTATGAGTCGGGGCCGACTCGACGGCATATAACAACAACAACAACAACAGAGAAAAGTAATGATGTGCCTTCCCTAACAGAAGATTGGGCAATCTACTTCTGTAGTGATACCGCCTTGGAAACCCAAGGAGGGGTCACTATGAGTTGGATCCAACTCGATGGCAGTGAGTTTGGTTTTGGTTTAATGATAGCATTAGGAGCTCTGGTGGCTTAGCTTAAGGCATTTGACTGCTAACCAGAAGCCAGGCGGTTCAAACCCACCAGCCACTCCTCAGAAGGACGGGACAGTGCACTTCCATAGAGAGAGTGCCTTGGAAACCAAGGAGAGGTTGCTATGGGTCGGATCCGGCAGCAATTTTGTTTTTCTGATTTAATGATAACATTAGGGTGACAATAGGTTTAATGGTAACACAAAAGAAAGACACTTAACTCAATCTTAAGGAGTAATTAAAAATGCAAAAAAATATAATGATATGAGAATGAAGGTTAGAGGGAGTATATAAAAGAACTAAATCTATATCAAAGAAGTCATCAATAACGTATAAATCAGAAGACTAGCATAAGCATTTTATATAGAAATAGAAATAAACACAAAGTAGTAGTAAAAGTATGGTTATCTCTGAGAAATAGAATTAAAGGAGGAGGAGGGGTTTGGCAAGTGATTACTGATTTCTGTTATAAGCTTTTCTGTTTTACTGACTTCATAAATATTGTGTATTACTTTGATAAAAATTTTAATAGTAAATCAAAAAAGGAAAAAAATGTCCCTTAAGTGATTCTGATAACCTATGTTATTAATAACTCCCAGCTTAAAAATGAATATCTTAGGAACCTTTGGATATTTATTTTAAAGGAATTCTGTTACAAGAACAAAATCTGGATTGAAATCTAGTTCCAGTAGAGCATTCCACTGAGTGTGCACTCAGAATTTTCTTATAAGTAGTATTGCTCAAGTGTTAACCGGGGGCACTTTCTTCTTGAATACTAACGTAAGAGGGCCAGTCACAACCTCCCCCTGCTCAAATGAGAGGATACACAATTGTTCTGATTTTTTCTTTATCTGAAACTATTCCCAATGTTTTAAAAAAAAATACAGGTGCCACTGAGCTGACAGGAACTCATGGAGAGCCCATGTGTGTCAGAGTAAAAGTGTGCTCCACAGGGTTTGCAAGGGCTGGTTTCTCAGGAGACTGCTAGGCCTTTCTTCCAAGGCACTTCTGGGTGGAATCAAACCTCCAACCTTTTGGTTAGCAATCAAGTGTGTTATTAACTATTTGTACCACTCAGAAACTCCATCCCCATGTTTGTTGGTAACTACCATTGAGTCAGCCAGCCCGACTCATGGTAACACCCTGCAAATGAATGAAACGTTATCCTCATGCCTGGTTGCAGACTGCACAACTGTGATTCAGAGGGTTTTCACCGGATGATTTTTAAGTAGATGACCAGGGTTTTCCCCTAGTCTATTCAGTCTTAGTACGGAAGCTCCACGGAAATCTGTTCAACATGACAGTAAAATCCAAGCCTTCAGTGACAATGGGTGGTGGCTATACCCACTGGTGAGGTGTGTTGGTGGGAAACTAAACCCAGGTCTCCTGCATGGAAGGTGAGAATTCTACCACTGAACCACCAATGCCTCATTCAAATAAACAAATAAATACAGATAACTAGGTAAGCTATTTTTTTTCCCTTAAATCTGGCTTCTAACTTGCTGCTTTTATTAAACAGTAAAGCAAATAAAGATTTAGTTTAAAACTTCATTATTTGCCTTTCCAAGGAAATAAAAGTGGATAGAATAGAAGAGCCAAGTTTATTTATTCTCATGTTATTCTGCACAAAAATAATCAGCAGCTCACATTTTATCTCTAATAGTGGTTTTTAAAGTGTGGTCTGTGGATACACAGGGTCCCTAAGACTTTTTCAGAGTGTCCCCAAGATCAAAGCTATTTCCATAATAATACATTATTTGCCTAGTTCACTGTGCTGACATTTCCTCTGACAGTGTAAAAGCAATGTAAAACTGCCGATACTTTTACACAAACCAAGGCAAACAGCACTGAACTGCACTCCCAGTCATTGTGTTTGTTCCTTCACTGCCCCACACATTACGAAAAGAAAAAAGCTAGTTTCACTTTAAACGTCCTGCATGAAGTAATAAAAGGCATTGGCTTTATTACAATGGGAAATACACATAAAGCACTTCGGCTGCATACTGAAGTATAACTGGTCACAAGGAAAAGCACTGTGTGACTGAGTGGTAAGCTGAATCAGCTGTCTCTCTTCTTTTTTCTAATTTTTCAGAATACCATTTTACTTGAAAGAAAAACTACAGTTATTTAAATTTGGATATTTACAGGTATCTTTTCAAAATGAATAAAATGAGCCTGTTTCTTCATGGAAAACAGCTAACAGTATTTATTGCTAATGATAAAATTCAATCTTTATAAAGTGAAAATCAGAATGTAGGACACTTACATGCACCTTCATGACTTTGACAACCATCCAATACTTAGAAATATGTCAGCATTTCAAAAATCTGCATTAACTCAGCTAATATTTTCCAAATGACCAATTCATAATGTTACCGAACCACGCACGATAAAAGAGCCAAAGTACAAAGATAGACAAAAGGATTTTAATATAATGTTGTTGTTGTTGTCGTTATGTGCCATTGTGTCGGACCAGACTCATAGTGACCCCTCCTTGGGTTTCCGAGGCAGTATCACTAGGGAAGTAGATTGCCCCATCTTCCTTCCAAGGAGTGGCTGATGGATTTGAACCGCCAGCCTTCTGGTTAGCAGTCAAGTGCTTAGGCACTACACTACCAGAGCTCCTCCCTTTAATATAATAGCATACAAAAAGTTCATTAATATGGTTTCAATTTCCATATTACAACTAACTTTTTAGTCAATTTTTGGTGTAATTGCCAAAGAAAATATCACAATGATCTGAAAAGATTATGAGAATGTTGTCATGTGCAGTCAAGTTAGACCCGACTCATAGCAACCCCTCCTTGGGTTTCCGAGGCAGTATCACTAGGGAAGTAGATTGCCCCATCTTCCTTCCAAGGAGTGGCTGGTGGATTTGAAACGCCAGCCTTCTGGTTAGCAGTCCAGTACCTTAGGCACTGTGCTACCAGAGCTCCCTGAGAATACTCTTCCCATTTGTAACTATGTGTCTCTGTGAGGTTAGATTTTCTTCATATACTTCATCCAAAACAATATAGCACAAAAGACTGAATGCAGAAGCAGATACAGAAATTGAGCTGTTTTGTATAAGCCAAATACCAGAGATTTTTTATAAAAAAATGAAACAATAATACTCTTATCATCACTTTTTGTTTTGGGTAATATAGTTATTTTTCATAAAATATGTTTTTTGTATTAACAAGTTTCTTACTTTTTTTAAATGAGTACTTCTCAGTTAAAATTTATAATTGTGTAAATATCAATAAAAATAATTCCAATACATAAAGTTCTTTGGGGTCCTCAATTTTTATGAATGAAAAGGTCCTGAAACCAAAACATATGAGAACTGTTCATCCAAAAGCTCTAGTAACATGGGCCGCTGAAGCATTACACCAGCATTTACAAAACCATCTTACTGGAAGTACCTGGATCTGATTAGCTATCTACCTTTAAAAAGACAGTTAACTAGAGGTAGAAATATTTCCCTTCTAGCTTTGTTCTTGTTTTATTTTTTTAACAAAATTAAAATGGTCAGCATCAAGTGAAGAAAATATATTGCCTTGAATAAGATACATATGTTAAAGATCATTTACAAGTTTTCACTCACTGCAAATAGCACTTAGATGCCAATAAACCACAATTTGTAAACACAGACATTTTTTAAAGCAACCTGAGCAAATAATATTTCAATAAAATAACCAATAAATTGTAATGATCTCCAATAAACAAAAACAAACAGAAAGGACAAAACAATGACAGATGGACTGAAAGCAAGGTGTCTGCATATGCTTAAGGTCTCATGCTATTTTTTCTAACTTTGACCAGAGTCTGAAATTTCACTTTTACCTTTCTCTAGAAACTTTCAAAACACTAATTATTAAAAAATAAAAAGAAAAGCTGTTGACAATTTTAGAAATTAAGCAGGTGGTATTCTAAATAGTTAAAAGTACAGAATTTGGAACCCAACAATCTAGGTTCAAATCCCAACTTTTCAAATTCTTTGGGCAACCTCTTTGGGCAACTTCTTCAACTTCCCTAAGTCAACTGTTTTCTGAATCATAAAAATGTAACTAATACCTACATATGAAAGAGTCACTGAGAGGGTCAGAGTATATATGTGATATATTTAGCATAGTACCCAATAGAGAATAAGCACTAAAAAAAGTTGACATTATCATATTAATATATCTTACCTTCAGTTCCTTCTCAAGTCTATCTACTTCAGCTCCTAAAGTATCAATAATATTTTCTCCATGTTTAAGCATAAATATCTCTAGCTCTTCAGGAGTTTTCACTTCTTGAATTTCCTATAAAGATAACGAAAGTAGGAAAATAAAGTATTTAAAAAATCATAGTGGTACATTTTAAGCTATTTGTTGTTGTTATGTGCCATCAAATCAGTTCCAACTCACAGCAACCCAATGCATGAAAGAATGAAACACCACCCAGTCCTATGCCATCCTCACAATCATTACTAACTAAGGACACATAAATTAAAACAAGATACTATTTCACATCTATCATATTGACAAAAACTAAAAAAACTCTTTCAATATAATCTATTAAGAATAAGAGACAACAGGAAGTAGGACACAATGATAATGGATGTTAAATCGGTACATTCTGGAGAACAATTTGGCAGTATCTAGTGAAGTTAAAAGATGTATTGCCCAATGATCCACTTAAAATATTTTACATCTGGTTATTTAACACCCTAAAGAACCTCTGGCACATGTGAAAAAGGAAACGTGAGAATGTCATAACACCGTTTCACAGTTTAACATTTAAAACTATCAGTGTCCATCAACTGGAGACTGGATAAATAAATTACAGCAATTCAAGTAAATTAACTAGAGCTACATGTCTATGGACATAGAGGAATTGCCAAACCACACCATTAAGCAAAAGTAAAATTGTAGAGGGATGCATTCAATATTTACACCAATTTTTAAGCATTCAAAGTATTATTATATATTGTAACAAGAAAAATATGCTGAAAAGCGTAAAAACCTAAATGGAAAAGATAGGTAAGAAATTCGGAATTATGGTTTATCTTAGGGCTAGAGATAGGAGAACAAGATGTAAAAGGAGAACATGGGTGCTTAAATTGTTTTGTAATGATATATTTCTTTTTTTAAAAGTTCATATGCAAATACTGCACAGCATAATGTTAGTATTTGACAATAACCTCTGATCTGTTCATTATATTATCCTCTACAAATTCTCTTTTAAACTATTAATAAATCATGAGCTCTGGAATCATCTGCATTTAAATCTGACTCCATATTTATGGCTCTGCAACTTGTACAAATTCTTTAATCTCTTAGTGTCTTAATCTGCCCATTTGTAAAACTGAGAATATTATTTTTTATCTTACAGAACTGTTGAGAGTAAATGAAATAACACATATAAAATGCCTGGTACATAAAAATAACTTAGGAAGTTTGCTCTTCTGCACACTCCACTGACCCATCCTAGGGTAAATAAAAGAGTTTCTGTCAAATTTTTGCAACTCTAAGAAACTTGAGGGTAAAAGCAATTTTTAAGTTTTTTAAATTTTATTTACTTAAAGAACAAAGTTACACACCACTGGCTACAGGAAAACAATAAATACACAAACTTACTTGTAACATTTGGTCAAAATCTTGTTTTTCTAAATATGAACGTGTAACAACTCGTCCATCAAAATCTACTTCTGCCTTAAATCTCACTTTACCTAATCCCAGATCTGTGGCTTTAACATCATGAATAGCCCTGTAAACAAAAGCAATGCATATAAATTTACATACCCATACATACATAATTTAATGACAAAAAGCCTAAATTCTTGGCTTTTTTACCATTGATGAAAATGACAAAGATGGTTTAATAATGTTCACTATTAAATGCTGCCTATCATTTTCCAAGGTTCACTGTCCACATAGCTCTATTGCATAATGTCATATACAAATGCAAACTTGGTATTTTATGAGTTATAAAGTTTATGCATTCATAATTAAATTGCTTTTCTAAAAAGTTATTATTTTATCTCATAAACATTTTTTCTTTTCTCATACAACCACTTAATTTCTTCTTGTTGCTGTTGTTATGTGCTGTCGAGTCAGACCCGACTCATAGCGACCCATTCTTGGGTTTCCGAGGCAGTATCACTACGGAAGTAGATTGCCCCATCTTCCTTCCGAGGAGTGGCTGGTGGGTTTGAACCGCCAGCCTTCTGGTTAGCAGTCAAGTGCCTTAGGCACTATACTACCAGAGCTCCCTAACAATTTCTTAAGTATCACAAAAAAGAAAATTTGTTGATAATAATGCATAGAGTGTATTGATTACTTTTAAATTCAGAAGTTTTTTTATTTTTTAAATCTTCATACAATTTGAAGTACTGTGACTGTAAGAACAGGGCTAATTACTACTTCATGGGACTGATGTGAGGAACAATGAACTTACACACACACACACACACACAAACATATATATATTTTTTTTTGCCATTTAGCTAACCAGAACTCATGGGGACCCCATGTGTGTCAGAGGAGACCTGTGTTCCACAGGGTTCTCAAAAGGCTGATTTTTCAGAAGGAGGTCACCAGGTCTTTCTACTGAGATGCCTCTGGATGGACTCAAACCACCAGCCTTTCAATTGGTAGCCTAGCTCTTAACTGTTTGCACCACCCAGGGGCTACTAATACATATATAATGATATCAGTTACACAGCAGTCATTTAATTAATAGTTTTCATGAAGTAGCTAGATAGCCATTTTTATCTTACACATGATAAAACTGAGACCCAGAGGGGCATAAGTAATTTGCCCAAAGTAAATCAGCTAGTAAACAGTAGAGTCAAGACTCCTGTCACCCCCCAGACCCTTAGAATCCAAGCCCACCAAATTTTCTATTCTTTGAAGAAAGGACAGCAGATGTTCAAGCTTAGATACTTTACTCCCCTCCCATGTTAATCTTCAACAATCAACCTTCTCAAAGCAAAACAAGACACTGAATTAGTGATCAAAAATGTCCCAATAACAACAAAAAAAATCCTGAACCAGATGGCTTCACTGAGGTATTTTTCCTAACATTCAGAGAAGAACTGACACCAATATTGTTTAAATTCCTCCAAAAGACAGAGAAGGAAGAAGAATTCTCTTTCATTCTATGAAGCAATCAAAACCCTGACACCCAAACCAGATAAGACACAAAAGGAAAAAAAAAATCTACAGGACATTATCT